TCTCTCTCTATATATATATATATATATATATATAATTTTATTTTTTTATTTTTTGCTGTATAACAAGTTCTTGCATGTCTAAAAAAACATATTTTTTGCAGCTCCAATGGTGCAATTGATGTTCAGTTCACAGCTGATAAAATCTAAGGCAGAAAAATTCAGGGAGCACATTTTACAAGCTTTCCAGTCAGTTCTTCGGACCCCTGTGACAATTGAAATCAGATGTGAATCAAGTAAAAATGTCAGGGGAGGACCAATTATGTTACCTGCATCTCAGGAAATTTCATCTTGTCTACTTGCCAGAAATGGGATGCCTAGGTCAGGTCACAATGATTTCAGAAGTCTCCAGCAAAGTAGAGATGGTTTGTCTCAGGCCCAGTTTAATACGAATGAAATGGGTGCGACTGAAATTGTCGAAGTAGAAGCTTCTCCTAGAGAACCTAAAGGAAGTGAACCCAAAAATGAAAAGGCACGCTATGACCAGAGAAAAACGGGGATATCTATTGCAGATCGAAGAAAGTTAGGTGAGAGGAATCAGAGTCTAAGCTTAGTTAGAGGCAAGGTATCCCTTGCTCATGTAATTCGGCAGGCAGAACGATGTTCACTACAAAGTGGACGGTCAAAGCGCAAAGCTGTTTCTATAGCTGAAAAACTCGAGCAAGAAAATCTGTACGTAGTTTTTTTTTCTGCTGGGCGCATATACAAGTCAAGAAACAACAAAAACACCCCGTACATGTACTTTTATCATGATATTTTTCTGATATTGAATGTTACTGTATAATCTGATATGTATCTGGTACGCATTCTTTTGCAGGAAATTGGAACCAACATCAAGAGGCTTGCTTTGTTGGAATGTTCCTGGAGTAACCCGTCGAAAGGTAAAAATAGATTATAAAAAAAGCTTTTAGATTTTCTTGTTTTTATAATGTGGTTAAGACTTGATAGAGCGTTTCAGGTTTTCTTATGTTTTGGGATTATGAATGTTATCCGCATTGTTTTACAGAAGGCATACTATGTTCTTTTCCTCCTATTACTTGCACTTTATCATTATTTTCATGGTTTGCCTGGATAGAAGCGGTTGCGTACATTCCTGTGAGCATAACCCCTTCACTGCATTCTTGACGATCCATTCCTATCATTAGTTAATGAATAAATACAGCTGTCCAGGAATGACTAAAAATTTAAAGTCCTAAATCGACATAATTAATGTTATGGAACCTGTGATTAATTCCCTATGCATGAAACCCAGTCTATATATCTGTATGGTAGACCGGTTGCTCAAGGTAAGGATGGGAAAATTGCGGCAGAGGTTCACCAAGAAGTTACACCTTGACCTTTCATTTGGAAAATTTAAATCCTCAACTTTTTGCTTCTGCACACTGCTGTCCCAATGAATTTTCCTACCTAATTGCTGATTAAAATGGCAACCCTAATTTCTCACCTTGAAAAGTGTAAAACCATTTGGCCATTAAGAAGTGAAGTAATAGACAATTTTAACGGGGGGCTGACAATTTTACCATTTAAAAAGTCAGACATGGGGGACTCATGCTATTTTAACCGTAATTTGGACGGAAATAGTCCACTGACTGGTTTAGGAAAGTGAATGGTTGAGGATTTTAAGTTGCAATTTTCTAGTATTATAAAAATTGTATAATTAGTTCTTTCAGTTTGAAACTAAAAATGATTCATGGGCAAGTGACTGATTTTAGGAGCTTATAATTTGCTTGTGTGGATTCAACTCATGGATATCTGTATATGCAGCTTTCGCGCTTGAAAATCAGAACGAGGAAGCCTAAAACTTTGCTGAAATTTGTCTCATGTGGAAGGTGTCTCTCAAGTAGGTCTCCAAGGTAAAACAAAAAACCATACTAGATATATTCGAAAGGTTTCAATGCAGATTTCAGTTCTATGACTTAGATTTACTTATGTTTAGGTCTTTCATTTATCATTATTCAATGAGAATAAAGTAGAAGTAAATCCAATAAAACTTTATAGGTTTTCTTGATGAACATTTAGTTGTCCTTTTGAGTTTTTTCACCGTCAAGATTGAAAATTAAGCCGACTATTGATTAAGGGCCCTTAAATTGCTGAAAGCATGAAATTATATCAATGCAAATGTGTTTCATTCTTGCTTGTAACATAGTATTGGCTTGTTTGGCAAGGTGGTCTTACAAGATTGGATGATATTAAGGAAGAAAAAGAAATTAAAATCTCTTATATTATACCGTCCATTAATGTGTGGAATGTTATGGGATAAGCATGTTCGACCTGTAATGAGTTGCTAAAATATTGAGTAAAGCCTTGGAATCATTCCCAGTGTAAGGGTAAAATTAGTCTGCTAATAATGTTATATGTTAAATTATATTCATATTTACCATGAAACCTATGAATAGATTATTTTCAAAATTGGTTGCTAAAAGATGTTAATAGAACAAATGCACGTTTTTTCATTTTTATTTACCTTTTTTTGTTTGACATTCATATTGTCATATACTAGTTGGTAAAGGTAAAATTACATTATACCATTATAGTTTGATTAAAACTCCTTTCGTCTTGCTATTGAGATGTTAAATAAGGATTGAATTAAATATATTTAGATGTACAAAGATTGATAGGGTTTCAACTTATTGAGAATTGGAATTTGATTCTCCAACTACTTTATGAAAGTAAATGTAGTAGTATTAGTTAGGAAACTTTAACATTTTCACACAATCAATATGATCCGTCATTCGTTCTTTCCAAATCATAAATAAATTCATTAATCATCTAGGCACAAAAATAATTATTTTTCTATCTAGACCATAATTCACAACTGTATATATAATAAGCTTAAAACAACAAATAAAAGAAAGAACAACGAAAAATGGCTTGAGTGAGAATCTAGGACTTATCGAAAGAGAAGAAAGAAAGAGACAATTTAGGTAGAATTTAGCAGACTAACAGGCAAATGCGACTAGTGATTTGTTCAGCAGTGGCAGACAAGTGTCAAATGTTAGGGAATAAGAGTTTACATTAGGGTTTCTTAAACTTTGAACATGATTTACTATCATAATTTTGTTGAATTATGATTTGGATGGTTGAAAAAATATATATATTTTTTATTTCATATGATTTTGGAATAATTTCACCATGGTACCCACACTGCCAGAGGTACTGCACATAGTACCAGCAACACCACTGCACATATCACCACAATCAGCGGCGCAGCATATCTTTTCAGAGGAAAAGCGGCGTTGCAAACATCAGCACCTAACCTGCAAAACTGTTGCCACACATCTTCGATCTGAAAAACTGCCACTAATACCATCAACACCACCACCATCGTCCACCGCTACCAATACCTCACCCACAAAAATGGTCGTCGCCACCAAGACCAAGACCAAGGCCAAGACCAACACCAACACCAACACCATCAACATCTTCTTATGGTGCACCTTGGGTGGAGATCCTCACAGCAGCGATGTTCTTGGGAAGCATTTGCAGACGGTGCTGCTTAGGTCGTCGTCGCGCCTCTTGCAGAAGGCACCGCTCTATTGCAACGACACCGATCCTCTTGTAGCGACGTTGGTGAAGGAGAGTGGTGAGAAAGGAGAGACGGATCTTAATCTATGATTTAGAATAAAATTGGGATGAACTGAAATAGAGTTGAGTTATTTTATATTAATATTATTAAATATTAATAATTAAATTAATACTTGAATTCTGAATAAAAAACATTCCTACATGATTTTTGCATACTGACGTTTAAAGGCCTGAAATCTTGTAATTTTCTCAAATAATTTAATGAGCCCACATACCCAAGTTGACTGTTCGAATAAGATTTGGACTTCCAACCACGTGGCGGACCAATACCTCTTTAAAACAAAATAAAAATCACAGTTTTGAACAAGAATCTAATAACTAGACTAGAATGGTTCAAATAAATTACAAGTAACTTATAACAAAAATCCAAACATACGCTATATGTTTTTATTACCTTTTGTGACTTAAAAATGTAAACATCACTTGTTACAATGTACTGAATCCCGTCGAATTTACTTGAATGGCGATTGCTCTGCCTTGTTGTCATCCCTACTTCGAAAGTCTCGAAAACATTTTTAAGTATGTTTTGCTTAGAACTGTAAATTGGATCCTTTCCAACTAGCATGGGCCAAATTTCCGAAGACACGTGTTGAGTTCATGCAAATTTTAAGAACTAATTTTCACAATTTTTTTTTGCTGAAAAAATAAATATGGGTCCATCTACGTCGCTCTATGTAAATTGTGAGCTCTCATACTCTAATTCAGCATTACCTTTTTAGAGGGACGAGTTCCACACTCGTCACAAATAGTTTTATTGAAATTTGAGCAATTAAGTTAAAATAATCATAAGGAACAAGTCCTAAATATCAAGCGATCCCAACTCAATTGATGTGGAACTTTTAATTGCCATTGAAGAGTCACATTTTTCTGAGACAGAATCGTATGCCACAAGAGAAATTCTGGGCCTTGGATACCCGCTTCGTCACTATACATTGGATTTTAATGCAATTTGGTCAAAGCCAAAAAAAAAAATAAAAAATAAAAAAAAGAATGCCATTTCCATTTCTACCCAAATGCTATGTTGACACGCATTGGAAAATTGTGCAGACTTAACTGTTAACATACTTTTGTTTGGTCAACGCTTCAATCCATGCACAATTATATTTGATTTAACTAAAAAAAGTTCGTAAAGTTTAAATTAAAGTCAAAGTCAATAATTACTTTTAAAATAATGTTAAATATAGTTATTAACTGTCACAATCATCCTACGTGAGATATATATAACTGCTGGTGATTTGATATGTGAGATAAGAAAAAATTACCACATTAAGACGACTAGCGCAGTGAGTGACTATCAATAACATTACTTTTAATTTTAATCACATATGTATTTTATGAGATCTACATCTCTTATCAACTTTTCAACTATATGTTTCATCAATTTATATCACAATATACCAAAATCTAATTTTTAGCAAAAACAAACATTGGCTTTGTTTTCATTTGAACTAGCAAAATATTGATTTATGAAGCAACTATAAATGGTAAAAATAATATATCACGTGACCTAATTTATTGAGAATAAGATTTAACTTCTCATTTTACTATTGAATTCTTTCTTTATATGTATTTTATTAGTGGTTGAAATGTTTGTATTACCTCTCAAATTTGAAGCGAAAACTCTAAAATCACTATAGTCAATACTCTAAACTCATATAGTTCGTCAAAATATCTTTGTTACTTATTTTTAAGCAAGGCCAAACATTAGAAATGGTCAACAACTACGTAATTTATGCTAAGAAATAATGATATGATACATTCATTAGTTGGTGAATAAACTAAGCAACAATTCTTAATAGATAATTTGTTTTGAAAATATAATCATGCCCTTGAAATCCTTTCATAGAAAGGAAAAAAAAATTAATTGATGTATTTATTGGATTTGTTGATAAGACTCGAACCCGCAGCTTCGCCTTGATAGATCAATGCTCTGACCAATTAAACATTTAGGAATAATTAATAATATAGAAATAGTGATCAGAGTCCAGGCAAAGGTTTCTTTCCATTGCAGACTGGTACATAGAATTTCCCGGAGAATTCAAATGTGAAACCATTTATGCGTATGTATTGAAAATTCAGTGAAGAACACACAGATAAAACACACTTTTTTTTTTCTCCCTCCCTCCCTCCCTCCCTCTCTCTTCTTCTTCTTCTTCTTCCTTTTTTTTTTTTTTTTTTTTTCTTA